AACAATATATCTGCTTATCTAATAGGAACAACATCTTCACTGAAGCATCCTGTTAAGCATCATATAGCCAACATGATGATTTCCTTATCATTCTGGGCTTCTTGGTAGAGAAGAGAGGAAATATTATAATTAAAATATAGTAATATGTTGTTAAACCATGGGAAGATGTTTGGAAAAATTAATCATTAGATATTGTCATCATTATGTAAACATCATATAGTTTATTTATACAAAGTAAGATGACTACCACATATCTAGCAGATAAAATCTGTGGGATCACTATTATATAGATGGTTCATTGTTGACCCCAAAATCATTATGCAGCATGTAACTGTGGCAAGCTTTCCTCCTAATATTCATCTTTTATTATAATCTAATGAAAACTTCTATTGGTGATTATAGTATGACAGTAACAGTTTTCATCAGATTGACAGGATGCCAATTCTATCAATCTTTTTTTTTGGTACTGGGGATTGAACTCAGGGGACTTAACTCCTGAGCCACATCCCCAGCCCTATTCTATATTTTATTTAAAGACAGGGTGTCACTGAGTTGCTTAGAGCCTCTCTGTTGCTGAAGCTGGCTTTGAATTAGCAATCTTCCTGCCCTCAGCCTCCTAAGGCCCTGGGATTACTGGTGTGCATCACCTTTCCCAGCTTCTATATTGGTTTTAACAATAACAGTTGCATGCATTTGTATGAGGTGATGGATTTGGTTGAGTTTTAGTTACTCGTTCCAGTGGTTATTACTTGAAGGATAGAAGAAGAAAAGGAAGGCAGAAGAGGATCAACAAAAGAAGGAGAGTAGAGACAAATGATCTTGAAGAGGAAGGAAAGAAGACATATAATGAATTGAGTGCTCATGTCCCCTCAAAATTTATAAGTTGAGCCTAGGTGTGCTGGTGCATGCTTTAATGCCAGCAATTTGAGAGGCTGAGGCAGGAGAATTCCAAGTTCAAAGCTGGCCTGAGCAATTTACCAAGGCCTAAGGCAATGTAGTAAGACCCTGTCTCAAAATAGAAAAAGAGCTGGGGATGTAGCTCACTGGTAGAGCAGCATAGATTCAATCTTCAGTATCAAAATTAAAAAGAATATCAATGGAACAAAAGTGGACCAGGTGACTGCAGCAGTGTTGTGGGATACCCTATTGCTGAGGAAATAATTCTGGAATGTAGCCAGGTCTCATGAAATTCTATATCTCAAATGAACAGGGCAGGATACCTCAAGTTCCATTACAACCTGGAAAGCACTAGGAAATGTCTCATGACAGCCTCCCAGGGGAGTTAGGAAGAGAGTGAGAGATGGTCTTGAGGCAAGTCCTAGAAATCTGCACATCTTCTCATACTCTGTGGGAATTAAAAGAATCCTTCTAAGTCTCATATTAGCTGTGGCTCAAGCATTTGCTTGCATGGCCCACGTAAATATGTGTAAGGTTCTAGAATGCCATGATGAACTGGYTCTCCTACAGTGATGTGATAATTGCAGAGAGATGACAGAGTGAAAAATGGGCATGATACATTTAGGGAATCTGTAGAAGGGAAAGCAGTAGAGAGAGGATGGATAAGAGAGGAAATATTAAACACTGATAGTAAAGATCACTGAATTTAAGATGTTTTATGGAGATATTTGTCTTATCTTCATTGGACATCTGTCTCTCTGTCACATACCACATGCTTATGCTTAGCCTCTACACTGGCTCAGGCAAGTGGCTTGGGGAACTTAACATTCTTATAAATCATGAAGAAGGTCTCTTGACTTAGAAATGTACTTTAAGCAGCTCACCCTTAGTTCTCCCTGGAGTCACCTTCTTTCCCCAGCAACCTCCTGAATGCCCTCTTTACCTCCTTGTTCCTCAGGGTGTATATGAGTGGGTTAAGTGAAGGAGTACCCACTGCATAGAAGAGGCCAAAGAACTTGCCCCTCTTTTGGGCATATGGATTTTTGGGCTGGAGGTAGACAGCAATGACGGAGCTGTAGAAGATAGTGACAACCATAAGATGGGAGGAGCAGGTCCCTAAAGCTCTTTTCCATGCTTGGGCAGAGTTAATTCTCAGCACTGCCTGGGCAATGGCACTGTAAGAGACCAGGATGAGGCTGAGAGGAACCACCACAAAGATGACACTGGACACAGCTAACTGGATTTCATTGTAGGTGGTGTCTCCACAGGATAGTCTAATCAGAGAAGGAACTTCACACAAAAAGTCATCTATCTGCCGGTGGGGACAGAAGGGCAGGCGAAGAGTGGGTGGCGTCTGGACTATGGATTGGGCCAGACCCATAACCCAGGCCACAGCTGCCAGTTGCCTGCATAGTCGTGGGTGGATGATGGTGGCATAGTGAAGGGGCTGGCAGACAGCCACATAGCGGTCAAAGGCCATCACTGTCAGGAGGATGCACTCAGTTGTTCCCAGGGACAGAAAGATGAAGAGCTGGATGAAGCAGCCCAGGAAGCTGATGGTCTTCTTGGGGCCCCAGAGGTTGACCAGCATCTGGGGGACAAAACTTGTGGTGAAGCAGAGGTCCAAGAAGGAGAGGTTGGAGAGGAAGAARTACATTGGAGAGTGGAGCCTGGGGTCCAGCACCGACAGCAGGATGATGAGTGTGTTGCCCACCAAGGTGAGGAGGTAGGAAGTTAAGACAACCACAAAGAGAATCCTTTCCAGCTCTGGGTGTTCAGAGAAGCCCAGAAGGAGGAATCCCAATGGGAAGCTTTGGTTGACCATGGCCTATTCCTATTCAGAATTAGAAGGATAAGATTATCAGATGAATGAGCTCCAACCTGTTTTGTAAAAAGTCAACTCAGATACTTGTCATGTCAAATTAAGTGGACATTTCTCCCCTCCTGCTCTCCCAGGCTTCCATTCCCAGGCACATCACCATCCAGCATCTCTGTTCCCTTGTTCTTCCTGGTCAAACCTTATCTTGTTGGAGGACAGAAAGCAGCAATATGATAGCAATGGTTGGAACCTTGGAACCCTGTCCTGTTGTCTCTGACTTCCTGGCTAAATGCAAAGGCAACTGATATAGAACATGTGCTAATTAATTACTCTTCATTAATTCTGGAAAAACTAATTAGGCATCTATTTTCTTCTGAATACTGTGGTTATTCTGTGCATCCAGAAATAATTAGTGAAAATTTGTTTGTTTTTTTGTGTATGATCCTGGGGGGTGAAACTCAGGGCCACAGGCATGCTGGCTAAATGATCTACCACTGAAGAGCATCCATACCCCAAAGAAATCTTGTATGTATGTATGCAGGGTTGTTTTCTACTCTGAGGCATAAGTATCCTAGGATCATTTTATTTTCAGGGATGACAAACATTTAATTGATATTAAAATACATTTATATGTAGACAAATTTCCCTTGAGTTGGAGATTGCTATTAATGTATTTTATACTTTTCTTCAAAGGAGTAATGTTGAGACAAATTCAAATCCACGTTAAGAGGCTCTGATGAAGTCACAGTCTGGGAGCTACAGGATAGTGCTTCAGACTGAATCCAATTCTTCCTGAAGAATTTTCATTCTGAAATCAATATTCCCTTCATCATCCTTTTTGTCCTCAGCCTGAGCTTAAGGTAGTTTGCATGGGAGATAAAAACAATTCTTTTCCCATTTAGGACTCCAGCTTGATGTAAACTGAAATGCTTGTGGAACAGATTTAACAGCAGAATTGTATTTATTTAGTTTTGGTACTGGAGATTTAACCTAGGGACACTTCATCACTGAACTAAATCCTGAGCCCTTTTATTTTTCATTATGAGACAGGGTCTCTCACTACATTTCTGAAGCTCTTACTATATATATWTTTTTTTCTTTAATTTTTAAATTTTATTTGTTTTTATTAGATATTTTATTAGACAGTCGAGTATCTTTTGACATATTATATACATATGGAGTATAACTTATTCTAATTTAGGTCCCATTCTTCTTTTTTAATTTTATTTTTTT